CACACCAATTTAATTTGTTGGTTCTCGGATTCGCCTCTTCGTTTTTTCTGATTTGCAAAAAAAAACATTGATTCTGGTCCTGAATCAACTGAAAAATGCTCATGTTTTGCCCCCCAACAGTTGAGGAAAGTCCTTTTCTTCCTAGTTGTTACAGTTTTCCCATCTATCATTGCAGTGGTTTGATTAAAAGTTCAGTTTAAATTTTAACCCAGCCTTTTGTGTTGACTTCATGGCTCATTTTGTAGCATTTAAGCCTATAATAGGATGCCTAGACCTGTTTTTATTTTTATTTTTTTTCGCCCTGTCGCTTCATTTTTTTCTGAAAAAATCCGAGAACCAACAAATTAAATTGGTGTGGCCTTATTGCACAACAATTATAACGGGTACAATGCATGGCAAACTCTTCAGTACTACATACTAGTATCTAGCTAGCATCTACTCTCACGTCTACAGTATTACCTACAAGTTCTATGTATCGAAAATAACATTCTATTTCAAAAGTTAATATAGTACAAGTCATGTATATATATGAAACATGGCTGACATGATAATGTACAAGTTTTTATATATGACTGTATAAACTAGAGTGCACATCAGTTGGTTGTGTCGGATATAACTAATGTTTTTGAGAAGTACCTTTCGTCCATCCAAAACAAATCTTTTGTTACCAACATAACCAAAATGCGAATCAGCGCACACTGTTTAGAAATAGAAAAAGGTCATTATAACAATGTACCAGCCACTCACAGACGATGTCCTACTTGCAAAGATACTGTAGAAGATGAAATGCACTTTCTGTTATCATGTCCGTCCTACACCCAAGAAAGAGAAACACTTATGAATGCGATCACCAACAAGGCACATAAAACATTACCTAAAACAATCTCAGATACAAACATCTGTCACCTTCCTCAAGGCAGTAAAGTCTCTTGCCATGGTCACTGCCTAACAAATAAATTTCCAGAAAATGCTACAACACTTACAGGACCAGTGAGATCAACTTGTTATATATATATATAAGGTTACGGTAACAAAAGACTGAATTTTGAATGAGTTTCTATTTTTTACAATAACTATGCCCCATGTGACAGATCATGAGGAGTATATTATATGTATATTATATTATATGTAACTTATATATATAGTATTTATATGATGATGAGGAGGAGGAGTATTTGGTTATTTTTCCAGCTGAGTGCAGGCACCCCACTCCCCAGCCCTAAAGACCTGCTGGGAAAAATACTTATCAAGAACAAAAAGAAGATCAAGAAGAGAGCAGGTAAGAATGAGGAATGTTGACAGTAATGATGCCCACAGTGTTAATACTGATCGAATTGTGGCTGTCTAGATACGTAATGTACATAATGCTTCATGTTGTGTAGGAAGATAGTGCTGCTTCTTTTTTTTTTTAATTCTGGGTAAGGCCATGTTGATTTGATTATATGGATGACATCCGCGCGCGCATGAATTTTCGGCCGTTTCCAAAAAAAAAGTTTTCAACCATACTGTAAATCGTGCAAAACAGTTGCTAAATGAGCAAAAATATACCATAAGTTGCAAGGAAAACATTTAGAAATGATACCAATGTTGTAGAATGCCAAAATCAAGGGAAAAAAGACAAAAATGTAAAGAAATGAATTCGAAGAGTAGATTATTCGCCATAACATATTCTGTGCCATTTGTTCAACCTTCATGACCACGTAGATTTCATAGTGAAAGCAACTTTTTTTTTTGCAAAACTTTTTTTTTATTCGCACGCACGCATCAGTTTTGGGGTTCCCAGAGGATGTCATCCATATAATCAAATCAACATGGCCTAAGGAAGTATTTGACAATGTGTGTTAATCCAGAGTGGGTTGACAGCATGTGGATGGGGGCAAGATTGACAGGCAGAATGATTTTGTAGATAGTGATCTATGTAAATAGATCAGTATACAGAATTAATGTACATCAAGGCACAAAATACCACCTGCATATGCAGGTTAATGCAGGTAAAATTGGAGCTCTGTAGGTATTGATGACGTGATTAGCCATGTACCATTAAATGTTTGCATAAGCTTGTAATTGTATGTGGATTTTTATTTGCTGCATTTCTTGTTACTACCTATGAAGTATGGAAATGGTTTCTGAAGAGTTTTTAATGTGCAGGTAAAATTTGTCTGGTGCAGATAATTTTCAGTGTTCCTTGAACCAGTACAGATATCTTTTTATTTTTCTCAAAGCACCCAGAGAAATCCATAAACAGGACAAACTTTAAGACATAGTGGAAAACGGGAACAAGGACATGCATTGTAGATACAATTCGCTGTAACCACGCATATTTATAGAATAAGTCTGATATGCAAATATTGTACGTTTGGGAATGCACAGCTTTGTCTGGTGCACGTAATTTCTAATGTAACCTGCACCAGTAGAGGTATGCAGGGAGAAGCATTTCCAGCCCTGATATCTCTTCGTTGTTTTCTTTCGTTGTGGATACTTGCCCACTCTCGAGTCCAGGAGGAGGGAGGCATCGCTGAGAGAACTAAAACGAATTCTACAAGACCCCACCAACCCCTGCAATGACTTTATCCCACCTAGAGAGAACACGGCATATAATCTTAGGAAGAACACGTACAGCAATCAGTTTAAGCTCCCATTAAACCGATCGGACAGACACAAAAACTCCTTCATTGTGAGAGCCGTAAAAGACTTGTGAATGTGTATTGGATATATATATATATATATATATTGTATTTTAAACTGAAATTGTTACTATTTTAACCTATGTGTTCTTAATGATGATGATTTTTAAATGATGATGTTTTTAATCTACGTATTGTAAAAATGGTGTTTGTATATGTTAATAATTGTAAAATGTCAATGCAATTCAGACTGCCATGTTGATATTTAATAAAGATTTGATTTGATTTGATTTCTCCAAGCACCCGGAGAAATCAACAAACAGGACAAAGACATCGTGGAGAACGGGAACAAGGACCTGCAGGAGAACGGCCTGGACGATGAGAACGGGGCGGACGAGAGTCTGGCGGAGGAGAAAGCAGCGGAGGACGGCGGCGAGAAGGGGACAGACATGGTGGCAGAGGAGGAGAGACGAGGTTCAGGTAAGTTAACTTAGTCTTGTTTAAAGTTAAAACTTTTGTTCCTGGTGCAGTAACTGACATGCCTTGAGAGCCACTCGTCTGCCTCTTTAGTGCAAATGTGCTAATGCAGCGCAGTATGTGTCAATATCATGCTATCACAAGTTCATCCGTGTTGGTAGTTACAAAAGTTAAACCTTTTGATCCAACACAAAGAAGTTCTCTCACCTAGAGCTTTCGACCAGTCACTCTGGTCTTCCTCAGTAGACTGACCCACTGAAGCTTGTCACGTGGCTTCTCTGAAGTGTGATGTCAACACTGGGTCATTGTTGAACCGCGACGGGGGTCGACATCGTCTACCAGATACATTTGACCCAGTGTTGACGTCACACTTCAAAGAAGCCACGTGACAAGCTTCACTGGGTCAGTCTACTGAGGAAGACCAGAGTGACTGGTCGAAAGCTCTAGTTGAGAGAATTTTTTTGTGTTGGAACAAAAGTTTTAACTTTAAACATGTAACTACCAACACAGATGAACTTTCATGATAGTTAACCTAGTCTTCTTCTTCTTCTTAGTTGATTGGCGGCCAACATCAATTTGCTGATGGCTTTGTCGCACTTGTTTGGTTGGTGAGGTCAGAGGTCAGGGTCTGTATCTGTATAAGTATAGCCAATATAACCGCCCTTCGGCGTAACACACCAGCTTTGCAGGCACGCTGCACGGTGGCAGCTAGCTATATCACACCGAACGACTTGTTACACTCAATCCTTGCACATTTAATTGCAGGAGTTGTTTAAAGCTTTCTAGTGATGATGCCCCAACTGTGCTTGGTGGCAAAGAGTTCTAGTCTACGATAGTTCTGGGGAAATAGGAGTTTTTGAATACCTCAAATCTTGGTTGATAACTCTGATATTTGAAGGCATGACTGTTTCTTGTTCTTTTCTGGGCTGGTATCAGATACTTAGTGGTTGGCACGTCTACCAGTTTATTAGTCATTTTGTACATCATGCACAGTCTGGACATTCTACGTCTGTCTTCCAGTGACCCCCACTGTAGGTTTCTTTTCATTCTGTTACACTAGCACCCCTTTGATATGAGGGTGGCATGTTAATGTTCTCAAATGCAAATGTGTTGGAGCATGACAACTACTGCAAGCAATCCAACTTGTTCCTGAAGGAGTCTAGGGATTGGGCAGACACCAACTCTGCAGGCAGGGAGTTCCAATCTGCTACAAGTCAAAGTCCTAAGTAAGTCCAAAGACCTCACTTATGGTAGAAGATGGTCCATTTGGTTGCACCCATCTCCTGTTCTATAGCCCTTGGACCACACAGTTTTGCAATCACTAACAGCTAGAGGCTACGTTAATTACCCTTGCCCAAATCTCCCCAAAGCGACCATCCCAGGCACCACAGCCAGCCCCAGGATGGAAAAGATGAGCAGCGTGTCGGCCGACCAGCCCTCACCAACTGGTGCTGTAGCAGACACCCTATGGTGTTGGGTTACATTATGTAGCCAGCTAGCAGGGCAGAGTTGAAGTGGCTGTTCACCAAACTTATAAATGTGTTATTCAAGTTTTCTGTATCTTTTTTCATCCCCCCAGCAACCATTGCGGCCACGGCCAGCCCCGGGATGGAGAAGATGAACTCTGTGTCGGCCGACCAGCCCGAGGCAGATTACTACGGCGATGACAGCGAATCGGAGGAGGAAGAGGAGGAGGACGAGGAGAAGAAGAAGAGAAGACAGGAGCAGAAACGAGACAAGGTAAGGAGAGAACCTCCGTGAATAGTTTCATCAGATTGGTAAGTCACCGAGTAAAGAGACTCAGTAAAGAGACCCAATAAATATCAATCAACAACAATCATCAATGTGCTTCTCTCATTACCGAGTAAAGAGACTCTTTTTACACAACCAAGTCTTTTATTCAGCCGACCTTTCGGTGACCGTCTGTCACCTTCCTCGGGGCAATTCTGACTGGTTCATATTGCACTGCAGCACAGGTGTCGCTGCTAAAGATGCATTCCCAAACGTACAAAATGTACATATCAAGTACATAATATTATGCATCTATAGCAGCGACACCTGTCCTGCAGTGCAATGTGAACCAGTCAGAATTGCCCTGAGGAAGGTGACAGACGGTCGCCGAAAGGTCGGCTGAAGAAGAGACTTGGTTGTGTAAAAAGAGTCTCTTTACTCCATAATGAGAGAAGCACATTGATGATTGTTGATTGATATTTATTGGATATTACTAACTGATTTATTCATTGATTGAATTGATTGACTCAAGCCAACACAGGACTAAAAGGCAGTAAACATTTTACAGCAGAAGTATGATATGTAGAACTTAATTGCACGACAACCATACATGGTACGATGTATGGCAACAATGATTGAACATAGTACAGAAAGAGGTATAGAGTAAAGCTTAACATCCTAATTACTAGAACAATAAGGGCTAGCATAGGTCTTACAATTGAATACCATTGTGTTACAATGGAGTGGGGCTAATTATGAGTTTAATTTTTTTTCTACTAACAATATACTAAGTAGTCTTTTATATGTATGTATCTAACGTTAAATATTTTTGCGTTGTGGAAAATGTACTTGGCTGCACATGTACATAGGTCCACTCCACAGATGGATGGATTGCCCTCCTCCATGCAGCTGACCTGTGAGGTTGACCTGTGGCTATGTTGGGCGCTGCAGTTATACAGAGTTTTGTCTGATTGCCCTGTAAAGCACGTCTGCAGAATGTACTGTGCCTGCTCGAAACCCTGATTTTTCACGGTTTTCGTTGGATGTTTTGTCAGTGCTGCATCAGAATTTTGCCTCTTACAGATGATATCTTTTCCAACAAAGCATTTTAAAACTATCGACAGGATGTCATTCTTAAATACACGAATACGACTTTATACGACATGTTCTACCAAAGTGCCATGCACAATACCACAGACTTCCCACACAGGCGCAGTACGTTCTGCCAACATGCTTACTTGGTCCACTCCACAGACCTCCACAGACCTGTGAGGTTGACCTGTGGCTGTGTTGGGTGCTTTGGTTATACGGAGTTTTGTTTGATTGCCCTGTGAAGCACGTCTGCAGAATGTACTGTGCCTGCTCGAAACCCTGATTTTTCACGGTTTTCGTTGGATGGTTTGTCAGTGCTGCATCAGAATTTTGCCTGTTACAGATGATATCTTTTCCAACACAGCATTTTAAAACTATCGACAGGATGTCATTCTTAAGGCCACACCAATTTAATTTGTTGGTTCTCGGATTCGCCTCTTCGTTTTTTTCTGATTTGCAAATAAAAATAAAAATTCAGAATCAACGTTACTGCAAAATGCTCATATTTTGCCCTGAACAGTTGAAAACAGTCCTTTTTATCCTACTTGCTACAGTTATTCTATCTTTCAATGCAATGGTATTATTAAAAGTTCAAAATTCATTGTTTAAATTTTGAACCAGCCTGATGTGTTGACTTCATGGCTCATATCGTACCATTTTGGGCCATAATAGGATGCCTAGGCCTGTTTTTATTTTTATTTTTTTTCGCCCTGTCGCTTCTTATTTTTTCTGAAAAAATCCGAGAACCAACAAATTAAATTGGTGTGGCCTAAATACACGAATACGACTTAATACGACATGTTCTACCAAAGTGCCATGCACAGTACTACGGACTTCCCACACAGGCGCAGTACGTTCTGCCAACATGCTTACTTGGCTGCACATGTACAGAGGTCCACTCCACAGATGCAGCTGACCTGTGAGGTTGACCTGCGGCTATGTTGGGTGCTTTGGTTATACAGAGTTTTGTCTGATTGCCCCGTGAAGCACGTCTGGAAAACATACAGATTTTTCACGGTTTTCGTTGTTTTTTTGGTCAACGTTGCATCAGAATTTTGCCTGTTGCAGACAATATCTTTTCCGACGCAAAACTTTGGAAACTGCAGACAGGATGTTCACCTTAAAATTATAATTATGATTATATAATTTAGGTTTCGCGCAGGCGCAGTACGTACAACCAACATGCTGGACGGATTGCCCTCTTCCATGCAGCTGACCTGTGAGGTTGACCTGCGGCTATGTTGGGCACTGACATTATACGGAGTTTTGTCTGATTGCCTCGTGATCGATACAGACTCCAGGTTATGTACATGTAAGGCTCCGCAGGTCCCATAGGACGGCGTCACGCCTGGGAAAGTCTGGAGGTTATGATATTCTCTTAATTGATTGTTTCTAAAAATATGTTGATTGATGGCATGGGAATTATGGACCTTGACATCTACATCTTTACAAGGTGCTACTTGGGTTATTGAATGAAGACCTTTATTGTACATTTGTGTTCTACAGAACTAAGTACAGGTCGCATGGGTACAGAACATGAACATAAACATATATACATTACATACATATGAACATATAAGAGTGTAATGTCTAATTTCTATTCTTTTCGGCTTCATCTCCCTTAGTAGTGATTGTATGGATATATGCGGCTGTGAGATTACTTAGAGTGGATTTATCAAAAGTCAAAAGGAATACAAATTTCTCTTTACTAGTCAGATACCTGAAGTGGGGAAACATACTTAATACATGGCTAAAAAATATGAGTCTATCTCTACTATACAAGGGGCAATCTATGGTGAAATGTATTTCATCTTCTATTTGGCCTAAACTACAGAATTGACAGGTTCTTTGTTATTACAGCATTGTTTTAAAGGTATTTTGCGACCCACTCATGGTTTAAAGTAAGTTTAACTTGGTTAAAATCTGGAGGTTATGATATCCTCTTAATTGATTGTTTCCAAAAATATGTTGATGGACGGCATGGGAATTATGGACCTCGACATCTTTAGAAGGGGAATGTACATGTATATAACAGCCAGCTCATTTTTTTTTTTTTAACCAAATTTAACGTCATTTTTCCCCAACCAGGGGTTAGACGTGCTTGCACCAGGTACAAGTCTTTTTTTGAAGCAAGATTAACCTAAACCTAGTAGGGCCCAGGATCCCTCTAACTGAGGGGGGAAATGCGTGTTAAGTGCCTTTCCCAAGGGTACAACGTCTGGGTGCAAGTCCGGACATGTCTGAGTCCAACCCTGGGGATTGAACCTGGGTCTTCTTGCTTGACAGTCGGACGCTCTATCCACTACACCACACAGACGCAGTTATATAAAGGGTATCCAATGATAATTGGTCTGGCTACTTGGGTTATTACAGCATCATTTTAAGGTAATTTGTGATTCACTCATGATTTAAGGTCAGTTAAACTTTAAAAAAAAATAGCTAAATGTATGTAATACTCTGAGACTTCTTGTTTCATCATTTGGCACACTAAGCTATCTAAACTTTTTTTAAACTTAACTTTTTTTTGTATGTTATTACATTGTTGGAGCTGTGGAGGTTTTGGTACTTGTGTGCACGGGTTCAGGCCACGCCAATTTGATTTGTTGGTTCTCGGATTTTTGCAGGAAATCATTGAAGCGGGTGGGTCAGAAAAAAAGAGTTGGCATCTTGTTTCCTGATAGCTACATGGTGTACAATAGGAGCCACAGTCGAGTTATGATCAATGTACTAGGCTGGTTTATAATCCAAACACTGAATTTTCAACTTTAAACCAAATCATTCAATTATTGATAGAAGGAAAAACTATAACAACTAGGAAGCCAAGGACTTTCTTCAACACTCCTCTATTGGTGCCAAAATAGGACCATTTTGAGGTCGATTCAGAACCTGAATGGTACATGTACGTGACATTTTTTTCGACAAATCAGAAAAAGATGCTGCAGCAGATCATTCACTCACTCTTTCACTATCCAGTTTTTCGTCTGTTGTTCCTTTACTTCCGAGGGTTAGATGTGCTTCTACAGCAGTACTGTGGCTTGATTGCAGCCCACCACTTACCTCTATCGTGTGGGTTGATGTTATGAATCCGAAAACCAAGACATCAAATTGTCGTGGCCTAATCGTCAGTTTGTTTCCCTTTCAGCCTTTTGACAGCGTGACCTGGAGCCGACGGGAGAACCTGCTACTCCACCAAGTGTCCCTCTCCAATGCCATGAATGCTCCCCCCTCTCCAACCGAAGGGCCGGTAACTCCTGCTGCCCTTCTTTCTTCCTAACCCGGGCACTGTCTCAGAATGAATGGCTGACGTTTTGTTTAACAGTTTTATCACATTTTTTTTTTACCAAACCATTTGTTAAAGGCATCCAGTGCACTTTCAGGACAACAAAACTAGATTTTCATAGTCAATTTATTGGTCATTCTTTTCATGAAGTAAGTTGAATCATCCCTATTCCATGGAATGTGAGGCAAACATGCGATGTTGCTGACATTGTTGCTTGTTTTGTATCGTAGGCAGATCTAGTTATTTATTAGTTGCACTCAAAAATAAAGGAACTCCTAGCGTAGCTTGCTAGTATAAAATGATGACGAAAATGTGCTAAGAAACAGCAGTAAGTGTGAATATCAGACAGATTTCCTCAGTCAGAACATTTTAGTTTTGCCACTCTGAAATTGCATTGGATGCCTTTAAGTCAAGATGACGAAAGTTGGCAAATGTCTACTATAAACGGCATGACCGCTTCCACACCTACTGTACTTGTGGTTAATGATTGTTTTTTTTTTTTTATTTGATTCCTAATTGTTACTTTCTTAACTGTTTTTATTCAGTTACAGATGAGTGGGGCTTACTGTTAACTTGTGCACCCTGATTTCTCACAAGGGTTTTCAGCCAAGGGTGTACCTGATGCTTTCACTAATTGTAAATTAACACTTATGACTGTCAGTATTACAGATGCACAAAGTGGATGCGAGGGGAAATGCAATTTTGTTTCCATATGATTTGTTTATTGTAATGATGTCTGAATTCATTAAGATGCACTGTTTGTATTATGACTAACTGCCCTGCACGACATTGAGTAACACCTATAGCTTCAGAAAAAGGCCTGTAGCAACGAGCATTAAGTTTCCGGACAGGATATACATGTAGGGGTTTCTTTAAAATTTACACTACCAGTAATGTCTCTCACCTGCTTGCATTTGTACATTTTGATGTCTATCAGACTAGCCTGGTTACCAAACCTATTATAGCTCCCGAGTCCTACATCCTGCAGAGAGGATGTAGGACTCGGGAGCTACATAATATATAATAGGTTTGGTAACCAGGCTACTATCAGACACCTTCCTCAGGGCTTCTGACTGGTGTGCTGCTTCTCACCACTATATGTATTGAAACGTACAATGTATACTTGGCAGGTGATAGACGTTACTACATGTAGTTGTGAGAAAGAAAACCCATTGCAATATCCTAATGTTCTACCATCCTGATGAAGTTATTTTTAAAAATTTGTGACAGTATCAATTGCTGTTATAAATCAACAGCAAATCTTAAGATTGTTCCCTTTGCTACTGTTACTTGCTCGTGTTTGAAGAGTGACCTATTTCTGAAGTAAAATCCTCTCTGTCAGGATGCACTTTTCCGTAATGCACTGCTCTGGATAAGGGTGACTTACTAAAGATTTGTTTAAGAGTATTAATGTTCAATGTGACGTATGTAAGACTAGTATAAAGTTTGCCTTCACTACCTTTGAAATTAAACCTGCACTTTTGGTATGTGTGTGTCTATGATGAAGTTGGAAATGCTGACAACTGTATTGTCATGAAGTGTGTTACACTTTCTGATGGAATGGTCTTTGATTGCAAGAATGATTGTTTCTACTTCATAATGTTTTTGCTGTGGTATTTATTCAGGTGTTGATTTTAATCGAGTGTTGTTTAATTTTTTTCTTGTATTATTTGGTTGGTTATTTTAAAACACTTGAAAAGCAGCACAGAACTACTGTCATATTAGGATCATACCTACCACTACATCCTAGACATCCCATCCCTTACTTTACAAGGCGCATACATTCAGTAGTAGTTGAGTTACTTCCCTCCCCTGTATCCATGTAATATATCAACCCCCAAGTACACCCATCTCCAGCTATTTCTGGTTATTAGAGTGCTGGAGTAGGGCAATCATGGCAGATTGATGAAGCATATGTCAGTGCGTCTAGAGAAACTTGGATTCGTCTGACCAAAGAGGGATTTTCCTTCGCGACGACTCGCTAAAATCTGCCTCTAGCCCCGCTGATTCCCTCTCAGTGTCTGACCAATCCACATCAGTGCAGCTGCCATCACTTCTTTTACAGGCCTGTAGCTCAGGCAGTTACTACGGTGGACCAGGGTTCTTTCCTGCTATTTTTGGCTCCCGGTAAAAGGATGGGATGTTTCAAGGGATTTTCTCGCAAAGTTGCAGAAAGATCAGGGAATGCATTCAATGTTGTGGGATGAGAGATGCCTCCAAGCTGGTATCTGAGATACCCGTAGACTGATGAAGTTGCTGCCTTGAAGTGGACGTGGCCATAATCTTTAAATCTCGCGCAAAAGGATCCATGCATGGGGAAGCCTACATTCCATTTGTCATCGGTAATAAAGTAGATGTGCTGTAAAGAATTTAATCACACAGATGCCTTCGGGAATTTGTCATCCAATACTGGTGGATCAGTTCTGCTGTTCAAAAAGTTTCCATTCTGATGAAAAGTATAAAAGTCGTCTTTCAGTTGACAAATTGATGGTCCCGCACTCCACATTCTGTATTGGGAAGTCACTTACTAATAGACAGTCTCCATTAGCATTTATCTGCCAGGTCACATATTTCCACCACAGTATGTTTGAGAGATCTCTTAGTGCAGCACCCCCAGGTATGCACAGTGTAGATATACAGGAGTGTATCATACTGGGGGATGTTGCATTCAAGACCTCTTCAGACATATTTTTTTTTTTAATATTTTTTTCATGGTGGCCAAATTACTTTGGCAGATGTAACATTTTAGGTGCTCTGTAGGTCCCAGATATAGAGTAATTAGGACTAAAGTAGCAACAAAAGAGTGAATTTAGAAAGCGTTTAAAGGCTGATCATGAGTTGACTGTCTCCCTAACTACATGTATGTGAGGAAACATATCACACATACAATGTACAAGGTCTGTGTGTTGGGGATACATTTGCCTAACTCAACAACCATTGATTTGAATACTAGTACGTCGTACAAATGTATGCCAGTTATACACCTAGTCACATCAATTACACATATTATCGATAATCTATCTAATTTTTTAAAAGTCCCTTCACCTTTTTTGTTTCCTGAAATACGCTGACTTGTAATTTGAAATTGAAAGTAAATTTGAAACTGACACCTCCTACCCTTTACCCTCCATGCGAAAGTATCCTCTTAGCACCAAATATGCAATTCTTTGATTCCCAAGAGTACAGAGATACTGAGCTGAGAAAAAAACAAAGTTAACTCAAGTTGCTCGAGCAACTGGATTTGGAAAATGGACAGATGTTTGGTCAGTGACTGAAAGAGATCTATAACCATTTTCAAGATCTATCCAGTACTGTTGCTTTGGTATCTTATTACCTGGATGTCTAACCTTCATCAACATAACTTTACTTTACTTTGTTGGAGACTGACAACACATCAGTACCTGGGTCAACAAGGCAGTCGAAACTGGTAGTAGATGACCCACAAATACAGAGTCTGACGTTATACACAAAATGTCATGACTGAGCAGAAATTTCGAAGTAATCATTTTATCACCAGTCTTGTCCATTCTAATTTATGTACGCAAACTTTCTGCAATGGACCTATACCATTATTACGTCACAGTTTGTTTACCTGTTCTAAAGAATATTCTAGAACGGTCAGTTAAAGAATAAAGATCATTTCAAAGTTTTCAAAGTCAGGTTTATGTCTGATTTTTGCTGCGTCTATTTGTGTTGACACAGCTTTACGTGCCGCATGGGTGATTTAGTTGTGACATTTGACGAAAGTAGTACACTGTATAAAGGCCTTATATTACGGTAAACAAACTGTGACGTAAATAATGGTATAGGTCCATTCAGAGAGTTGTACCCCTGCTGTGAGATTTGTTTTTGGTGTCACGAATAGATGTTACCGGTATTTTAGAAAGTTTCTAATTCAAGTCTTACATGTTTTAACCGGCATCTTTTATTTTCTGTATGTTGCGTAGGGCACAGCAGGACAGGAGACAGATGCTGTTGCTGAGATGTCAGCTCTCGTTAACTACATCCAACCTGTCCACTTTCACTCCTTCGAAATCTCAGAGAGTAAGTCATGTTCTTATATCCTTTCTGTCCTTCCATGATTGTTATATCTTGGAGCAACTTTTAAGGAGTTTTTATTCCTTCCCCAAGGACAACTGAAATTAAAGTTATTAGTTTTCTGAATTAAATATTCACCATCAAGTTCTATGTCAGAGATTTGACTAAATGCTAGACTAAGTATGGATAAAGGAGCTGTTGACACACCAAACAATGATTTGGGAAAAGTTTCCGTTTGTATAACCCTTTTACATGCATATGCTTCTTGTTTTTTGTATTGTTATGTTTCTGGTAGTTGCCAGACTGTATATTTTCACTCTGTGTTCCAGAGAGGAACCGGAGCTTTGAGATTTCCTCCTTTGTGGAGACAGCAGCCCTGGCCAGCCTGAAGGAGTTCCCTGTGGAGTTTGTCAAGTATCCTTCTATCAGCAACAAAACCAGAACTTCTGCTGCAGTACCATAACAAGCCGCTAGAGAGCCCCAAAGCTAATCATTTTGAGGTCTCGTCACCACCTACCAAGTTTTATGCCAGTCCATCCAAAACATCAGATTTGAGTTATTATGAAAAACTTAAACTGTTCTCCAACTAAAAATTTGACTCACCAGAAATTTTCGACTGAATCACTCAGTCTTCCTCATCAGCTATCTGACCCAAATGCTGTGGACACGTGATTTTTCCCACGTGTGACGTCAGCAAAGGGTCAAAGGTTGTCTGAAGTCGATATCGCCCCCCCCCCGTCCCGGTTTAGCGATGGTTGAAGTGAACTTTCATGCTGATCCTGAGTTATTGTGCTAAGCCACATACATTGCACACATACACATAGTATTACACAATACAAAAACACATACACATACACATAGACGTGTATACACATACATATGTACACATACATGCATACACATATGGTTAGTACACATACACATAAATGTGTACACATATGCATACACATAAACAATTCACATGCACAATACATACATAATTATACATTTTGTACTCATACACAACATACACATACACAATACACATACACACGCACGCGCGCGCGCACATGTACACAAACTCGTACACAACAGGCTAGGCAGTTCAAGAGCAATAAGACAGTTCAGATAATTGTAAGACCATGCACGGATCCTTAACCCAACTCCTCCAGCTACAACAAACGACAGTTGAGCAGAATTTACCCGCGAGGCACCAGAATGGACTCCAGTAACTACATCCCACAGGTCAGTATTTATTTGTATTTTTATCGTACATGTAGCATGTCAGCAGCATTCCAGTGTGACAACTCTGTGAAAATGAGTACCTAGCTTCGGCTAGGGACATCCCTCGGATAGGACGTTAAATGGAGGTCCCGTGTTTGGGAGAGTCACACCCCACGCACGTTAAAGAACACACTTATCGAAAAGAGTAGGGGACCTTCCCGGTGTGAGTGGTTCAAACATTACAGTCTGGTCTCAGGTTTGACATCTTTGAAAAGGTGATAGTCACCTGTTATGTCAATCCTTCCACAAATGTGGTAAATCGTCATGAATAAATAAATTAACTCTGATAAAATACTTAACCCCTATGTGATGCACAGCTGGGGAGTGTGTATGTTAGCACCATGGTTGGGAAACAGAAGATGGCACAAGTTGTTCAAGGCATGTCGTCCATGCCAAACAGTTGACTTCAAGAAAGAGACTATATGCCAGACATGTATCCAGAGGGTACGTCTATCATGAAATGAGAATCATTAGAATATTTCTGCAGTTCTCTGGATGCCATCATTAGTCCAAGCATAAATATTCCTCAAATATTACCTTCATAGTTGGTAATAATCAATGTGTATGGCATCCATGGTTTTCCATCAACAGTTGGATCCAAAGAGTCGACTTAGAAGAAGGGGGAACTAGTATGAAGTGATAAAATACAGATTTGAGAGAAACAAGTTATTGATGAAGAAGTCCCTGCATGTGTTTAGCACATCTTATATGTCAGACATGTTTCCAGGGGTATGAATGTCATGAATGGAGAATTGCTAGAATTACATGTATATTTCTACAAGTTTTCTGGACGCCATCATTGGCCCAAACATACCTAATATGAAGCTGTATTTCTTCCTGATCTGATTCCGATCCGCCCTGAAGATAGCACTACAAGTCTGTGGAATCTCATTCCAGCTACTAGCTCCTCTGTAACTAAACATGCTCCTAGCACATTCCAGGTGAACTTGTGGTACATGCTTTAACAACTAGCTTAAACTATGACGGGTTGGGTAGTGATGAGACTCAGCTATCCTGTGAAAGATCTGGAAATATTCTGACAATTGGAGGTTTACAGACTTGTACATCATACTAGGCCCTATGTTGGTGAACATTTGTTCCACTCATATCTGCACATAGATGGAGAATGTTGTTCCAAGAAAGCCTATAGTAATTCGTAGGTCTTGAAATGCTTCTTTTTTCTGCATACCTACACTGGTGTAAGTAACATTGAATGAAAAATACCAAAAATTTTACCCACACAACTCAGAGTTGAAGAAGTACGGATCAGACTAGACTGTACAGAAACTGTTGTCATTTTCATAGACTTTACCATCTGTAGGTAGTAACAGTCAATGCAGCAAATAAAATAAAGAAGAAGTCAAAGCCAGTAAAACTAGTACCATGTATGTTGTAAAATATAGTATAATGCTAGACGTAGATAGAGTCTCACATACCACTGTATTTTCTTTCTATGTTGTTTGTAACTGCAATTAGCCCTCAGGCAACTATTTGCAATAAACTTTCTTATAATAAAAATCAACATATACACCCACGTATATGTATAAACCCAGTACAATGTATATGGACATCAAAAATACCTGCACGGCTCCAATTTTACCTGCACTAATTATAACCTGCATAATGTACAGTAGGTGGTATAATTTCAAGTCCTGATTTGGCATATATATGCCTGATTTGGCATATATATATATATACATACATACATACAGACATACAGACATACATAAATACATACATACATACATACATACATACATACATACATACATACATATGGGTGCACTAGTACTAGTACTAGTGCTCCCGCAGAAAAATTGGGGGCACTAAGGTGCACATGCACCCTGTATTTCAACCACTGCTGAAATAGGTAATGGGTGCCTTTTATTATTGAATTAGTGATGCCATCTCCACGATTGCCTGGATTTCTGGTATAATTTCTTTCACTATGCTGACGATAAATGTATTTGTAAATGGACAGACTGTGAATTAAAAGTCCAAATTAGTGTTTCTTTAGTGTTTCACCTCCTCATGCAAAACTCAAGGAAACTATAATGTTTTCTGTTAAACACAAGATTATTAAAAAACAGTAACTCCTATAGAGTCCAGCCATCATTGGCAACATGAGGATTAAGGCAAATATCTGTATTTCTATGACATCATATTATTATTATATAACCTTGTTTTTACACATAGTTAGGCCACACCAATTTAATTTGTTGGTTCTCGGATTCGCCTCTTCATTTTTTTGATGATTTGCAAAAAAAAAAAAAAGATTCTGGTTCTGAATCAACTCAAAAATGCTCATATTTTGCCCCGAACAGTTGAGGAAATTCCTTTTCTTCCTAGTTGTTACAGTTTTTTTCCATCTATCAATGCAGTGGTTTGGTTCAAAATTCATTGTTTAAATTTTGAACCAGCCTGTTGTGTTGACTTCAATGCTCCTATCGTACCATTTTGGGCCATAATAGGATGCCTAGACCTGTTTTTATTTTTATTTATTTTTCGCTCGCCCGCTCCATTATTTTTCTACAAAAATCCGAGAACCAACAAATTAAATTGGTGTGGCCTAACCTTGTTTTTACACATAGATATGTGTCAAAACATCAGGCAGCACAGCTTGCGATATTTTGGTTGCTGCAGGCACATTGAGCTGCCTATTGGATCAGTCCTGCTGGCGTTTTCCCTGTTATGGTAAAACCTGGCGGCAACAGCGACATCAAAGCTGTTGCTGCATGTTACGTGGGCTGGCGGCTGTCATCTTACATTTACCACAAGTGGATGAACAAAATAAAACATACATAACATCAGGATGGAGTACCAATTAGATAACACAAACATCATTAAGCTTCTCTCTTAAGCACCCAATTACCTCTAGCTGCAGGGCTCAAAATATTTTTTCTGCTTATTATATTTCTGCATTGAAAATTACCTGCACCAGACAAATTTTACCTGTACCTCTCAGAATTTGTGAAGTATGGACTATACTAAAAACTGGTTATATACCATTATCATTATTTTCATTGTCATTATTTGCTTCATAGGTGGTAATAGTCAATGCAGCGAAGAAAAATCCACATATACCAACATGTACATGTACTTGTAAACCCAGTACATGGACCAGCACAGGTAGACATCAGAAATATCTCAAGCCCTGACATATATGTGAAAACAGTTATCATTTTGTGTTTGCTAAGTGAATGGGCAAATATAACAAAGAAGACACTTAGAGAAAGATGGCAAAAAAACTATGAAATATGAAACAGTCTAGTACAAAGACACAGGAAGTCAGCAAAGCTTCAAAGCTGTTGTTAGTATGTGTAGCAGGGTGTAAATTTCAAAGAAGTTTTAAATCAAAGCGAATGGGTTGTGTTTACCAATGAAGGCGGTTTCAACTGTGGGGTCGTGTGGCGTAGCGGCAGAGTGCGCGACTCGGAACTAAGAGTCCGAGTCTTGACATGCCACCGATCTTGTGCCCTTGGGAAAGGCACGGCTTTCCTCACTTAGCTCAGGTGTAAATGAGCATTGTCCTATCATGTATTTGCCTGTGTTGGTGGCGGAATTAATATACTAGTAAGTTGAAGAAACTTGAGTGTGTGGTCACCACGTCTGGTGATTACCTGTTGGAATAAAAAAAAACCTCTTTATGTTTACTAAGATATTTTGGGAAGCAAAAATCAACCCTTCAGAAATGATATTTGTGTTATCTAAATATTGGTGCAACATCCTTGATATGTACATTTTCTTTCGTTCAATCACTTGTAGCAAATGACAATGTACATGTGACAGCAGCAAAAAAAACAATCTTAAGAGATATCCCTGATGTTCTGGATAAGTCCACTGTACATTGACTTCCTTCCTTTGATGACCAGGCATTTGTTTTCATCTTCTTGAAAGTCAGAGGGAAAATACGTCAGTAGGATGTACAACTGGCTGCATCTTCTGTACTGCAGTCATGCATGTAATCCAACAGTATTACTGGCTGCATCCTGGAAGGTTTCGCTGAGAACAACAGGAAATACTACGTAAATGCTGTTGATCATTGTGGTGATCCATTCTAATGTAGGAAGGCTTCAAAAGAAAGGATCTTTGCGGCGATCCATTCTAGTGAAGAAAGGTTGAAAAAGAAAGACTGAAATTATAATGAAAGTTCATCTGTGTTGGTAGTAATCATAGTAAAATGTTGAACTTTATTCCCACACAAGGGTAACAATACACAGAGATCAAATTTTCAATGTTTCAAATTGGGAGCGATTGTGGTAATCTCGACTACTGAAGAAAGGCTGAAAAAGGAAGGCTGAGTTTTCCCTGAGTTTTTCATCTGTGTTGGTAGTAATCATAGTAAAACGTTGAACTTAATTCCAACACAAGGATTACACAGAAATCAAATTTTCAACATTTGGAAGTGATTGGTCATTAATTCTCCTGATGAAGGCAACAGTGGTTGTCGAAAATTTTATCTCTGTGTAACCCTTGTGTTGGAATAAAGTTCAACATTTTAATAAGAAAGGCTGGAATTTGACATTTAGGATGGCACTTCCTCTCAGTATTTGATCACAAATGAATTATCAAGATTCCTATAATGTTAGTCTGCTACACAGATAAGCTTTTAGTTTACAGGTATTAAATGTTCTGACAGAAGGTTCTGTAGGATTGTAAGGTTGGCCTTGCTTAAATTTGTAAATCTTAAAATGTGCGTAAATTGTACTTTATATGGAGCTGTAAATGAAGAATGTTTTTATAAAGGTTTTGTAGTTGTGAGAATTGGACGATTCCCTAGTTGAGACAGAAATTTAGAGGTGAAATGCACTATGGAGCTGTCAATGTAGAATGTTTCTAAATAAAGGTTTTGTAGGTTAGAATTGGATGTATCCCTAATTTAGGCAGAAGCCAGGGCCTGGTGTTGTTTTGATTCCTGTGAGCATCCCCAGGGATATCACTCATACCAAATATGAGGCAGC